ATTGCTGGATCATAAGGTATTTCTATTTTCAACCTTCTGAGGAAACGCCGTATTGTTTTCCAGAGAGGGTAAAGTCAGGTTTTAATCTCTTGTCTTTCTAGTTCCATAGTTGTCTAATTTCTACCCATCCCCATGGCTGTTGTGGTGTTGTTAAGCGCTACTAAGTCAGTTCTGACTCATAGTGACCCTGTATAGGGTTTCTGAGGAGCAGCTAGTGAGTTTGAATTGCAGACCTTTCAGTTAGCAGTCTAGTGCTTATCCTATAGCGCCACACCAGGGCTCCAATCATGCTCCTTGCTAATTTTCCCAGCTACCTCTCCAGTTACTGGGAAGGTCAAATTAGATTGGTGAGTGGACTTCGGAGAAAAACGTTATAAGAAGGCTAATGTAAGAGGCTATGAATTAGTTTTCAATAAACCATTAAAACAAACTCTGATAGCGCAGTGGTTACGAAATGGAATGCTAAGCTCAAGGTTGGCAGTTCGAAACTACCAGCTGTTCTGTGGGAAAAAGATGAGGCCTGTGGGAGAAAGATGTGGCTTTCTGCCCCCATAAAGATTTGCAACCTTGGAAACCCTGTACAGGGTCGACTCCACGCTACTTAACAACAACAATAACCACTCATAAAATATTGTATAATAATTTACTGTTGTTGTTGTTAAATGCAGTCGAGTCAGTTTTGACTCATAGTGACGCATAGGGTTTTCAAGGAGCAGCTGCTGGATTTGAACCATCAACCTTTGTGTTTAGCAGTCCAATGTTTATACTACAGCACTGCACTATACCTGTTTAAATAAAAAGACTCTCATGTACTGCTTTCTTAAATCCAAACTCTGAAACTCATATTACAGAGGATCCTTCACTTCTCCTCAGGACAAAAATTTGCAGGATGTCAGGGAAAATATTTTAATGGCCATAGTAAAAACTCAGAGCCAAATGTGTTTCTCTTCGTGCCATCCATCCTGTTAGGCAAAGTATAAACAAGATCAGGCCTCACGTGGCTTCCTCCAAGGAGACTGGCTCCGACCCTGGAAATTCATTCAGCAACACGCAGAGAGAGGAACCAAGGCAAGATGAAGACTTTGCTTCTGTTTGCCTTCTCTCTCATCGTACTGGCCTCTTTCTCAGGTGGGTATTAACTCCAGAACCCTAGCCTCTTTCTGTGATATCATGATCAACTGGGAGAATCATCTGTGTGATATCGCTTAAAGTAGTTTTTCATTTAAAATGGGATATAATGTATCAGTATATGGATACATCAAAGCTTTTGGAATTGTCATCACTAGGGGTTACATTATTTGTTCTTAAAAAAGATTTTTTTAAATGTATTTGAGCCTTAATTCTCAGCAATGCTGATACATCTTCAACCGTATCTTCTTTTAGGGTTCATATGTGGTTATCCAAATTCGATTAATTATCATTTACCTTTCTATCTTATTAACATTTGTGATCCTAATATCTTTTACTGTGTATGTTTAGAATACAATTTTATTATAATATCTTCTTTTTGAGTTTATGTGTGATTATCAAGCGTAACATAATTTTAATACCATTGTCTTCTTCTAATACAACTTTAAACTTGGTTATTATATTGGGGACTTTAAGAAGCCCTATCGAAGCAAACCTCAGGGAGGAGAAACACACTCAGCAGAAAACTGAAGAAAATAAACATTTTAACAAAAGGTACCATTAAATTAACAACTGATTTTAGAGCAGTGAACATCCCAATAGATAAACGTTTCTGTAGTCTAGGTTTTGCTTTGAGCCACCCCCAGTAGAACCAATTTGAATCTCCTGCCCTAGCTCTGTGGCGTGCCTGGCCCTTGGGACTGGTCTTATAAAAGAAGTTTTGTGTTTCTACCACAATTGAACTTGCAAATGCTTCTCTGTGGGTGTGGGGAAAGGGAGCGTTTGCTTTGTGTATCTGAGTGTCCCCCCACCCCCGCTTTTTCAGAGGCCTCCCCAGTTCTGATGGAAAAACAGGCCAAACAGCTCCTGAGGTCCCGGAGGCAGGAGCGGCCTCCCAGCAAACCCGGCTTCCCAGACGAGCCGATGCGGGTGAGTGACTGGCTGCGGGCTGTGGCTATTCTAGGGAAAATGCGGCCGTTGGGACACCAACTCATTTGGAAACCAAGCTAGGTGCTGGTCCCAGCATGGACTGTGGGCTCAAGGGCATCTTAGGCTCGGGGTGAGACAAATACGAGCTCAGAGTCTTTCACCCAGACGAGGTGCCTACTCTGCTGACCTGCTGGAAACTCGTGTTTCAAATAGAAATGGGGAGCAGAGGGTGGCTGCTGAGTGAACCCGCCCATGAATAGGAGGTGGGGAGCTGTTCATGTTAGTTCTTCCCTGCATCTTTCCCCTCCTTCCTTGGGGTGAAGGCAAGACCCACTGAGGGGTCAATACCGTTGTGTCCAGACTCTGGCCAGGTGTTTGTAGGAATTCCACACTGACCTGTCGCTCCAATTTCACCTTTGACTTCAGCTCTGACCTCTGGGATCTTGGGTCCCACCAGCCTAATCTTTCATTCTGTGATATACTGGCCCCTTGCTGGTTCTGACCTGACTTGCCTCTGTATCCCCGTGGCTGAAGCCATGCTGACCGCTGATGGTTTTGTCGCACCCTGGTGAAGCCCCGGTGACGCTGTAGGAAAAGCGCTGGATTGCTAATGGCAAGGTCGGCAGTTCAACCCACCAGCCACTAAGAGGGAGTATGATGAGGCTGCCTGCCCCTCCTGTGAAGAGTCGATGGCAGGGGAGTTGGGTGATGGTAAATTGTGGTAGCCCAGGCCAAGCTGGGACATCTTGGAAGTCATTTCTGTGGCTCAGGCTCATCTCCCACCTGGGGCCCCTTTACCTGGGCTCCATGCCATTCTCTGTATTGCAGCCCCATATCAGGCTGCCGGGAGAGGCACGCAGCAGCTTCTCTCATCACCGATTTACAGAATCATGTGACTAATTTGATTATTTCACTTAAAAGTTGTGGTGTTGCATGCTGGTATCAGACTGAGTTTGAATCTTCCCATTTTCTATGTGGTTGTTGTTGTTAAGTGCTGTCAAGTCGGTTCCGACCCATAGTGGCCCTGTATAGGGTTTCCAAGGAGCGGCTGGTGAGTTTGAACTGTTGACCTTGTGGTTCAAAGTGACTTTGAGGTCCATTGCTTATCCTACAGAGTTGCACCAGGACTCCTTCCGAGTGTGTAGCCTTGGGAAATTTACCTCACACTTCTGTGCCATTGTTGTTGTTAAGTGCCATCGAGTCAATTCCAACCCATAGCGATCCTGTATAGGGTTTCTAAGGAGCAGCTGGTGAGCTTGAACCACTGACTTAGCAGTTCAAATGGCATTGCAGTCTGACGCATTAAGCCACAGTGCCAGTCTTCTATAAAATGGGTATAATAATAAATATTATCATTTGTATTATTATAATATTACTCATATCAATAATAAGGAGCACTTATGACACGATTGAGTAAGCACTGAACTGCTAATCTTCAAGGTCAGTAGTTCAAAATCCACCAGCTCCATCCGAGGGAGAAAGATGAGACTTCCTGCTCCCATAAAGATTTACAGGAACAGAAAGCCTCATCTTTCTCTCATGGAGTGACTGGTAGATTTGAACTGCTGACTTTGCAGTTAGCAACTCAGCTCATAATCCACTATGCTACCAGAGCTCCCTTAGCAAACAGTTGTTGTTGTTGTTAGGTGTCATCAAGTCAGTACCGACCCATAGCAACCTTATGCACAGCAGAACGAAACACTGCCCGATCCTGGGCCAACCTCACTGTTGCCACGCTTGAGCCCATCGATGCTGCCACTTGGCCAATCCATCTCTTTGGGTGTCAGTGGATGTTTACAGCTGTTTCTCTTCATTTTGAGTTGTGCCCCATCAGCAAATGAAGTTCCTGTGGGCTTTTCTCCCATGGGATTTACTCTATTCATGTCATCACAGTCAACTACTTTGAGGAGGCAGCGCTTTCCCAGTTGCAGTTTGAGTGCCTTCCAACCTGAGGGTCTCATTTTCTGGCACTATATCTAACAGTGTATCTCTGCTATTCATAAGGTTTTCAGTGACTAAATATTTGGAAGCAGTTAGTCACTCTTTCTTCCTAGTCTGTCTTCGTCTGGAAACTCATCTGAATCCTGTCCACCATGGGTGACCCTGCTGGTATTTAAAATACCGGTGGCATAGCTTTCAGAATCATAGCAACTCACAAGCCACCACAGTACGACAAACTGACAGACGAGTGGTGGTAGCAAACAGTAGCGGCTCCTTTTCTATTAAGTGTCAGGTACTATGCTGAGCAGGTTAAATAGAGTTGCTCTAGGTTTCTGCTCAGAGTTGGTGGTGGAGACAGAGAAATAAACAGATGACTGTTATACAGAGTAGTATCAAAATTAATCAAGGACTTGCCTGGCTGTTAAGTGTCAGTGTGGCTTTGTGTGTTGTGTGTGTTATGTGGTAGAAGAACCAGTGGCTCAGAATATGTAGGGTACAGGGAGGGTGGGGGCTGGAGAGGTGAGCAGGGACCAGATCAAGAGGGCTTGGGAACCTTGGACTTTATCTTGTGATCCGTGGAAAACAACTGAAAAGTATTTACAATGGGGCAGTACAGATTTGTGCCACTCCCACCTGCCAAGTTGCTGTACTGTGATGACTTGCATGTCGTTGTGCTGCTGGAAGCTATGCCATCAGATTGCAAATACCAACAGGATCACCCATGACTGCCACCTTAGAAGAGATTCTAGAATAAGACAGATTAGCAAGAAAGACCCTGGGGATCTATCTACTCCTGAAACCGAGTGAAAACCCTATGGGTCACAATAGAACACTGTCCGATATCGTGCCTGAAGATGAGCTTCTAGGTTGGAAGACACTACAATAGCTGCAACAATGATTGACACATACCAGTGGCCAGTGGTGTGTTCTGTGATACATAAGGTCACCATGACTTGGCGCCAACTCCAAGTCAGCTAACAAAAACAGATTCAAGTGTTAGGTAGATTGTTGGAGAAGCAATTAGACAAGAAGAGGCCCAGGATTCAAGCTTGGGAACACCAACATTTAGGGGAAAAACCAAGAGAATATGGTGTTACAGAGTGACGGGGGAAGAGGGTTAGGAAGGAGGACAGATGGAGGATGAAGGCCGTGGTGTGTGTGAACATGAAAGCCAGTAGAAAGGAGGGCGGAAATGGGGCTGTGAAGGGGAGCTCGGGGTGTGAGGCATAACTGAGTGGTATGCTTGTGGCCCCTTCTCAAGGGCCCAGGGAGGCTGAAGGAAGTGGATTAAAAGACCGGGAAGAAGCTGCTCTCTCTACAGGTGCTCATGAGACAGGAGCTACTGAACCCATGAGTCTGTTGCTTGGCAGTTTCTCACATAGCATCCTCACCTGGCTTCTTTGAGCTCCACTTGCTGAATAACTGCCTTTGCCCTGACTGAGGCATTAGACATCTGCCTGACTTCTGGTATCACCTGACTCAGTGTTTGTAAATCCCCTGCTCACCTCTGACTTTGCCTCTTACTGACTGGCAATTTCTGGGTCATCTTTAATTACTACTACTAACTGCTGTACTCAGTTCCCAGGGCTGACATAACAAATTACCATAAAGTTGGTGCTTTAAAACAACAGAAATTCATTCTCTTGGAGTTGTGAAGGTAAGAAGTTTGGAATCAAAATGTTGGTAGAATTGGTTCCTTCTGGAGACACTAAAGGTGAATCTATTCCTTGTCTCCCTTTAAGCTTCTTGGTGTTCCTTGGTTTCTACCTCCATTGAATCAATCTCTGCCTTGTTTTCACATGGCCTTTCCCTCTGCTGAGGTCTCTGACTCAACTCTCCACTCTGACATTCTCTTCTAAGACCACCATTTCTTGCAGTTAGTGCCCACTCTAAACCCAGGGTAGTCTCATCTCCATATCCCTAACTCACGTCTGCAAAGACTCATTTTCCAAGTGAGGTCAAACTTACAGGTTTTGGACATAATTTTTTTGGGGCCACCATTCAACTCACTACCATTGTCTTGATCTTAACTGATGTAGTTTTTCTAAGAGTCTTTCTTGCTTCAGAGCCTATATTTCCCACTCCAGCTCAAACCTACATGTCCCTCACCAAAACACTTGGCCTCAACCCATGTCCAGAATCCTCAGTAGAATTTAGACAAATGGCCATGAAATGTGAAATAAATACCCAATAAATGATCTGGTCATGAATGTATAGCAGCCACTCTTGGGAAACCCTATACACGGTTTCTGTGAGTCGGAAACAACTTGACGTCACTAACCAACAACAACAATCTATTGAAGGAGTTTCTTGGTGGTGAATGCTAAGTACTTGACTGCCAAAAGGTTAGCAGTTCAAACCCAATCAGAGAAACCTCAAAAAAGAAAAAAAGAAAAGACCTGTCAGTTTGCTTCTGAAGGGCCAGAGCCTTGACCACCCTGTGGAGTGCACTGCTATCTGCAACATGTGAGCTTGCCATGAGTTGGAATCAGTGGCAACTGGTTTGGGTATTCTTGTTTGTCAATCGATTGGAAACACAAAAGCTAAAAGCATGAAACATTTAGAACGCAGTTAGTTGGTGAACTGACTTGTTTGAAGAGTAAACTGATGCAAACGACCTCTTAAAAATCTTAAAAAGCGATGATGTCTCTTTGGTAAATAAGGAAGGTACTTCTGGCCCTAGCCATGGTATTTTTAGTTGTCTCATATGCAATGAAAAAGGAAGCCTGTGGTAGAATTAACACATTCGAATTGTTATATTGACTATATCACATATTGTATATATTATATATATACCACACCCTGTCAGAAGGACAAACAAATCAGGGTTGGAGGAAGTGCTGCCTGATTTTGTGCCACTTAAATTAGACATACCAATCAGACGGACCAATCGCTAGAAAAGCACATCATGGTTGATAGAGAAGAGGGTCAGTGAAAACGAGGAAGACCTCAACCAAATGGATGGACACAGTGGCTGTAATAATGGACCTACGATGGTGAGAATGGCGCAGGACTGGGCAATGATTTGTTTTGTTGCTATGAGTGAGTCCACTAGATGG